GGCAGCAGTGCTGCATACCAGAGACAATCCCTCTGTGCAGCTTTTTCTTTCTTTTTCAGCTTTATTTTTATTATCCACTCCTTACTGCTATTGAATCTGTATGTGCGTTGTCTGTAAGGATGGAACCTACTGTTGCTGTAGTCTGGACTATGCGTTTCCATATGTATTTATGAAAACATTTTTGAAATCAAACTAATCTTTTGATAAGGCTGAACTCGCAGTTCTCAGAATCCTTTAAATTTGATTCCCAAGATCCATTATTCTGAGTTAACAGCATGTCTCTTCTTTCTTTTTTCTGTGAAAGCTACTTGCACGACTTGAGGGCAGAAGTTGTCTGAAGAATCTTGAACCTTCTTTGTTTGCTGAGGAAGGATCTCCTGTTCATGGTAAAAATGTATTTTTATGCTATTTATGGATAACTCTTGATGTAAAAGTATTCTCAGAGCAGTAAGACAGAAATAAGCATGCCCTGGATTCAGAATTTTAATTGTTGATGTAGTTTTATGCAAACAAGATAAAATGAAATAATGCAAAGTCACCATTTGAACTTTATCAAATGGGTTTTAAAATACCTACTGTATGGGTATCAAAATTGGGTGTATGTCAGTAAATATCAAGCCCATTCATCTGTTTCTAGTATTTTTAGAGAAATTTGTTTTAGATTCTGTCATTTAACGTTTTTTTTCCATCAGTAGTCTGAAACACCACGAAGTCATAATTGCAGAAAATTGTACAGAACTTGAGGTTCAATAAATAGGAAAGAGTTCAGTGATATAGAGTGGTCTGGATCAGTTAGGAAAAGGGGCATAAGCAAACAGTATGTTTGAATAAAGCCAAGTCATCGAGCCATTCAGTCTTGGCCTGAAAACTCCTGATTATACTTAAGATAATGAAACTTTGGGAACAATTCCACTATGAACAGGTACTAAGCAGCTGGATGAGTTTGTAGACAATGTTAGGATCAAAATGGCTTATATAGACCTACAGTGAATAAATGAGAATTTCAAATTGGAGAAATTGGGCTACCTCCCTATGATGCCAGTACAAGTTTAAGGTAGATTCTTCTAGCAAGAAGTTTTAAGATCAAGATCTGATGTTTTAATGAAAGAAACTTCTGAGCTAATCAGAAATTAGCACACTTAGTAATTCCTTGATTATTCAGCAAGTCAGACTGGCTTTCCAGATGTGTGAGATTTCATGGATATCACAACGGAAGAGACAACGGATCACACAAAACTAGAAATACATAGTAAAAAAGGCGTATGAATGGCAAACGGTAAGGATCATGCTGTGAGGTACTATAGTTGGTGTGTGTGTATGAATGAATGGATTGCATATGAAATGTATGTGGCTGCAGTGGTTATCAACATATTTGTCTGCAGTCTGAATTCCCACAAATTATAGAAGGTTCAGAAGAAATAGCAGAGAAAGCAATAAAAAGAATCAAGATAATTGGATGAGCGATGATGCTCAGTCTGCAAATGCAGCCACTGTGAGACTGTTCGTGTATTATTTTGCAGCACTTGAGACTATATTAGGGGTTTAGCAATATATGATTCCTGGCCCTGAAAGTTTCAGATACGATCTAACAAAGATAAAAGGCAGAGAAATACTGGTGAGGCAGTGCAAATGGAGCAGCGGTGGTTATTTAAATACTCTGAATTCTGAACTGCTTTGTTACCAACAAGAAGAATTAAGAACCAGTCATGAAATTGGTATATGCTGCACAAAGGCTCCTGGTCTTAACAGTTGGGTTTTTTTTAAATAGGAGATATTTCTGTTTTGAAAAAATGCAGTAATTGGAAATGCTGATCTTTCAGTCTGGTTTGGTTTGGGTTTTCTTATGAACTTCCTACACAAGAAACAAATGTTGGAGACCAAACTGGCCATGTTGTGGTAGAACAGACAAGAAGCCTTCCTGGGGGTCAGTGAAGGTTCCTTTGCTGTCACAGCCCGCAGCGTTACATGATTCCATTCATCAAATTATCAGCTTTGATCTTACGTAGGTTGGTTGTGTCTGTCCAAAGATTGCTCCAGAACCTCAGTTCTGAGATGGCTGGAAACCCTCTAAATTCGTCACTGTTTTTTCCATGTCAACACAATCACAGAGCTCCTGAAGAACTTGTATTTTTCTTCTGCGTTTAACAAATGGCATCAGTTATTACCCGTATTGGTCATGCTTTTTGGCCAACATTAATGAAGCTGCATAACATGTTAGCACAGATCTTTAGCTTAATATACATAAATGGACTTCACTTTTGTTAAATTTTTGCTTTGTCTTTTAATACCACAGTATTTAGGTGAGTCTATGTGTCATTTTGATGTGTGTTCTCATTATTCAGTCTTAAATCCCTATTGAAGATGTACCTCTCCATTTGTCACGAACTTGACTTTTAGTATGTCTCTGTGGAATACTGTAATACATTGCCCATGAAGTCCATACTGAACAGCTCTTAATCTAAAATGCTATAATTAAAGCTATGCAAAGACCCAAATGATTCTTTTTCCTGATGGTATTTGAAATATGCAAACATATATGAAGTTTCAATAAACTATCCAAAGGTTACATTGTAGTTAAGTGCTCGTAACATGTATGCCAGAGTCCTATATAATAGTAACAGCTAAATAGGTACCCCTGTGATATTCTAGACTGCTTCCAATTACGATGGACTTGTATATTTAAGAACACATAAGCATATTAATGACATATTCTAATAACCTGTTTATAACTGCAGCGTGAGAAAATAGTTAACCAGCATTTGCTAGTGTAATGATTATCGACAAAACTTAAGGCCCTTCTCAAAGGGTAACACTGAATTGAACCAGAACTGAGCACAGTGTTTCAGTTAAAAATATATTAGTGTTACATAAATATTGAAGTTTGTGCAACATCATGTAGTTTATCCTGTGTGCCATGGCATAGCAGTGGAATATTGTACTCTTTAGTCTGCCCATAGTGGGCCAGATCATCTACTGTGAGCCAAGAAATGTGATGGGTGACTCCTTAAACTGTACTTCTTGAATTTGTCAGTGCTGAGTTTCATATTAAATCATTTGGCTTGTCCATCTTGATCTGTTAAATCTTCACAGGATTAAGTTTATATTAACCAAATTAGTTTGTCTTCTACGCATGAAATGTTCATTTACTGCTATTTTTAACACTGGGCAACACCAATTCTAACAGGAAAATTTCCCATTAACCTTCTTCCATGTTACAGTCTCTGTTCCTACTCTGCCTCTCAGACTGTTTCCAGCCCATAATAGTGACTCCTAACTAATCCTCCTTTCAGAGTATTTTGACATTAATGGATGGTGCCAGCACTGATCACTTAAGTGTCTTCCATGACCTATTGTGAGGATGTCAAAGGCCTCTTGTAGATGTCGCTGGCCACACTTCCTCCTCTCTGTGTCGTGGTTTGTCCACTCTGGTCCCGAAGGATGAATTTCCCCTCTTATCTTACTGGAACAGCCTGGTTACTAATTTAATGACACCCCTTGTTTGTAGATGTTGCTATAAATGGCTTCTGTTTTGCGCCTGCTCTTCTTGTGACAGCCTCTTTGATAATCATGAAGGCACAGAAATCCCCAGCTCTCTTGAGGTTTTCTTGCAGTCCAAACTGTAACTTCAGTGTTTTGGTGACACTACAACCCAGATGTGCATCTTGTTCAACAATATTGAACAGCTTTGAAGGGTGCTTAGCTGTCTTGCTGTTGAAATTTATAAACCACCACCACAAAAACTCCCAAGAATGATTTTTGGATCCAGCTTGAAATTTTTACTTAAATAGATTTGTTAGTTCTGCCAATAAAAGCTCGACCAATGTTGTTGTGCACATTACTGCTCCTTTATGTGTAGCTTTATAGGAGGTAACACACAGGCATCCTGATAAAATGTCTCCAAACGGATCAAGTCAAGCATTTATTTCCATTTTTTTTTAATCATTAGCAAAGAGTAACTCAGATTTGCCCACTGGTCATACAGAGTTGCTGCTTTTCCTTAAACATGTCATATTTTGCTGTAAAGGTAGGTGAAGCATCTGTATTGCATCCGGGCCCCGTTCGGTTATTGGGCTGGATTCAGAAATGCCACTCAGGGTGGCCAAAGTCTTGTGCCGAAAGCAGTGGCAGACAGGAGATGCACTTTGTTCCTTAGCAAGAGGTGCCAGGTGTCCTAAAACATTTCAGTAGACAAAATATGAGGGCATGACCTACCCAGAACATCTAGGAGTAGCTCTTCCAAGGTGGTATCTTATCCTAACAGGGTGTGATTGTGTCACTGGCACTGTCTGGGTGACAGCAGAGCAGCTGCGAGGGGCAGAGCTGGGCATTGCGAGCACTGAACAGGAAGAAAAAATGAAGATTAAAAAGTGTAGTTGCCTTGCATCTCAAAAGTGGGGAGAGCAGAACAGATAATGAAGAGTTTGGGAGGCAGTCGAGCTTTTGAATAAAATTCAACGTATCAGAAATTCTGGGTAACAGAATTGCAGTTGTGGAGCTGAGGGATTTTCATTATGGAGAGGCGGGCAGTCTTGAGTGTCATTGAAATGGACAGCATTGTCACATCAGGTGTAAATTGTTTTCAGCACTTGCAATGGGTGAAGTAAGAGCTTTCTTTCTTCCCTACCACCCTCCACCCCTCATCCCATGCTGCATCTTAATGTTATACGCACTTACGAACAAGGACATCCTCTGGAAGCCGAGTAATGACTTGAAAAACCCTGTTAACTCAGGCAGGCACAAACTTGTTTAAGTAAAGTTGCAATTAATTCCCTATCTTGCATCCCCCCTGTGAAAAGCTGTTATGCCATTTGCACTTGCCGAGGCCATAGAAATCTCTCACCTTCCTGCAGTTACAGTTGTGTGATTCTCCTTACTGCATGGCTTTACCCTTCTACCTAAAATACAAATTGTCATAAATAAATGATCCAGTTTCCTAAATTAGAAATTTATAAAGAGCAACTAATAAATTAACATTTATAGAGTCTTGCTCTGATGCAAGACCTAAGACGACTTTGGAAGAGGCTTTAGAGCATCTTGCATTCAAATCCAACAAAATAACTGGTTTGCTAGTAAAGGGTAATGCTTTTTTTAATTAACATTTTAAATGTATGTGATACATGTTTAATTGACCCACGTGGATCAGGCAGGTAGGCTGAGTCCGTTTATGGACAGAGATCCTTTGCTTCAGGCAATAGAGTCGTTGCCTGGAGTTGAAGGAATGTGTGAGTCCTCTTTCTCAAAAGAAGCAGTTTCATATTGTGATCACCACAGAAGAATGTAAGTAAATAAATAAATACATATACTAAATAAATATAGCGATGTTCTCTGTACCGGTCACAGATTCCAGCCGGTAACTTGTGACGTGCGCAGATGTTGAACAGGAATGTAGCAGACATGAAATGCTGAAGGATGGTCTGTGCTATAAAAGCAGATGTGCCCGCATGATTTGGGCCTCTAAGATGTTTATTGTTTTTTATTTTGCTTGTCTTCTATTTTTTATTTTCTAATTTTGTGCACATAGTGTAAATAGATGGTTTCTTAGCCACTTTTGTGTAGCAGCTTCCTTCGGGCCTTCATCTGCCTGCAATGGTAGATGAAATCCAGTTGCCAACCTTTTATTGATATCCATGTCCTAGGTGCTATTGGCAGGTGTTTGGGTTTTATTTCTTTTTCAGTCTTTGTTCCTAGTTGGTTTTCTTCACTTCTTGAAAATTGAAATTTCTCTTGGTAGATTTAAACAATTTTATGGATATCAAAGTTTCAAAAATGCATTTTCCAATTAGTGGAATAGGGAGTATTGGTTCAGTAAACACTAAAAAATGACTCTGAGCTATTAATGCTCTTACCTAACATCTTGCTGCCGTGGTTTTCAACAGGAGATGTCATTGAATTCCACGGTCCAGAAGGAACAGGAAAAACAGAAATGCTTTATCACCTCATAGCCCGCTGCATCATTCCAAAATCAGGAGGAGGACTGGAAGTAGAAGTGATGTTCATTGATACCGACTACCACTTTGATATGCTTCGTCTGGTTACGATTCTGGAGAACAGATTGGCGCAAAGCACAGAAGAGATGATAAAGCAGTGCCTGGGAAGGCTTTTTCTTGTGAACTGCAGCAGCAGCACTCAGTTACTCCTCACTCTCTACTCTTTAGAAAACATGTTTTGCTCTCACCCCTCCCTCTGCCTTCTGATGGTAGATAGCATATCAGCTTTTTATTGGATAGACAGGAGCAATGGCGGGGAGAGTCTTAATTTGCAGGAGATAAATCTGAAGAAATGTGCTAACTTCCTTGAAAAGCTCGTGAGGGAGCATCACTTGGCCCTCTTTGCAACAACACAGACACTTATGCAGAAATCCACAAACTCTGTCGAAAGCTTTTTTCCTTCAAAACTTCAGCATGAAACCGATACAGACTACAGACCTTATCTTTGTAAATCATGGCAACAAATGGTAACCCACAGGATATTCTTCTCGAAGCAATGTAATTCTGGCAGCGGCACAGGTTTTACAGTCACGTCTTGCCACCTCAAAAGAAGCCATGCAGTAAAACGTTCGTTTAGTGTTGCAGAATGTGGAGTTCAGTTTTAACTTCAGGTTGGTTTTTAAATGTGTAGAAAATCCTGGTGCTGAAGGCCTGATTAGGTCTGAGTAGGTTTTAGTACCTTTTAAACTAGCTGGTTGTTGCTGGGTAGTTAAGAATTTTTGTGACAGTCTTCTTAAAATTTCGTGAAGGGCAGGAAATGGTGAAATTTTTTAATTACTGTAGACATTTAGTCCAAACTAGTGAGGAATGTTGAAACTGCTTGTTTGTGCTTAATGCATAAAGAGATTAAATCAAGAAAATAATAACCAAAACCATTTTAAACTCTTGGTATCCTTCAGTAATCTAACCTATGTGATATGTGGCCAAATGCACTGACTTCATTTCTGGGTCTTACTGCTTGACACTCCTCTTCCAAGCTACAGAAATAGCAGCCTGGTTATCCATGGGGGCGACTGCAAAAAGGCGAGTGTTGGCTTTTAATAAATATTGGTCTTGGGTTTATTCCCAGTAGCCAGGAGCATATGAAACGCATTCACGACTTCACCTGAAGAAGAGGACTCATTTTCACAGCCTGTTAAATAGTGGTGATCCTGACTGTGCTCCTCCAAGCTTGCAGCCCCTCTGTTGACATTGGCATGTGCATGGAGAAGGGTTGCAGATGTTTTGACCCTTACAAACATCTGGCCTTGAAGAATCCACAGCTATTGCAGAAGGGGAGGTCTGATTTCCATAACTGAAGGAAAACGAAAGACCCAGCTCTGGGTACCTCTGAGTTTGTGCTGCATGCAGCAAACAGTTCAGGCTTTGAAAATAATGAAGTGTGGGTTCTGGGTTGTTTTGGGTGTGGGGGGTTCTTTTTTGTAGGGTATTTTTTTAGAGGTATGCACAGACATATGTTTTTTTTTCTCTGCCCTCCCACTTCTTTCCCTTCCCCCTCTTTAAGA